CTCGCGAGCTGTCATATCGCTTTTTCAGCCAAACCAGGGTTATAGGTTATTAACTTAATGAATCCGAATATCATAGTGAGTAATGTGTAACGTTTTGTAGTTAATATTCGCCCACGGCCTTCAGAGAGCAGTTTTCTGGAAAATCAGTTTTTCAGAAATAATAACCAAAACCTTTCTTAATAAGGCATAATTATAGCCCGCAAATTTCTGATGAAAATGAGACATCACCCAGCTTTACAAGACCTTTCTCTGAAAAGTTATACAATTTACACGAAAAGTCCTAAATGTTCATTGGCAGCGCAAAGCTACAGAAATAAGAAGAAATTAATTTAGGACTTTTCTTGCAAATTGTATAACTTTGCAAGAAGTATAGAGCTGGGCGATGTCTCATTTTAATCAAAAATTTGCGGGCTACAATTATTATGCTTCATTAAGAAAGGTTACTTTTTAAAGTTTCTGAAAAACTGGTTTTCCAGAAAACCGCTTTCTGAAGGTCCTGGGCAGCTACCCCTATTCGGATTCAGCATAGTTGATAATCTATAACCCACTAGGCTTGGCTGAAAAAGCAATGTGACATTCGCGAGGTCTTCTTGTTAGTCCTTTCCATTCTCAAATTATTCAAAAAACATTCGTGACCATTCTATTTTGAAATGGATAGTAGACCGTCTACTACTCTGGAAGGTCTTTTTATCGACAAATGATGAATTATATAACCATATCGAACAAACGTTTTGATACAACCTTCTTGCACGCATTCATACAATAGAGAAAAATTATTTGCAGATACACTATGTAGGTTTTTTTAATCGCAATTCTCATCGGACCGAGAAGGCAATTTTTTGTCAGAAATCCAACTATGCAAAATAGTTTCATCATTTTTACTAGTAAGAGTAGAAAAAACTATGGAATATTTTGACTTCTTCTATAGAAGAAGCTTCCTAAATTTACGGAGTAGTCTGTTCGAACTTCAATGATAATCAACTGTTATCAAAAAAATGGTTGCCACTGTTCCATTAAGTGTCAGTTACTGAAAGTGAGTTTTCAAAGAGAAGAAAATGCAAAACTATTCATAAATGACAAGTGGTTGAACTCAAAATATCACGCTTACTTCTGTTTTAAATAATTTGTGCCATTGAAAATCAAGGTTTTTTGCATTTTAGCCATTGCATTTTTTCTTTACCAGGCTCATACCGTTTAATGGTTTGATGTTTCAAATTCACAATGTATAAAAATTTCAAAAACAACACTTTTTTTCCGAGTTGAATTTTGAGAACATTAAACTAATTATATACATTATTTTCTTCAGGTCATTCATATGAGACGTGTTGATCGAACAAATCTGATTTTAGTTGGTGACATAATAAAAAAATACCGAGCACCTTTTTCAAGAAAAGAAATTTAACAGTACATACGCATCTTAATAGTTAACATTCTCACCAAATAATGAGTATAATGGAAAAAAGTTTCTTTCATCCTATCAAATGAAATATGTTTCAACAATATAAATTTTTGAGCGTATGATAATTTTTACTTGATTTTTTTATATTGCAGTAGTCTCAGACAAGTTTCTTGAAAAAAGTTAATTCATGACGTCGCTATCTTAGTTTTGTTTCTCTCGATGTGTCTTGTTTCTAAATGTATATTATCTGACTCTGTTCTGGTCGTATATCTGTTGTTTTTTTTTCTTTTTTCTAACACTATTTGGTGACCGTTCATTGAACTTTGCCCGCTTTGTATTTTATTAAAAAACGACTACAATGTATATCTGGTACACATTTTTTTCTCTTTTCTCTATGGGTTTTTTTTTGTTCTTTCTCTCTCGTTCTCTGTTAACAAATAGACTATGAAGTGGACGAACCCAATTCCAATACATCGTGAACACTCACTATGTCTAAAAAGGCGTACACAGGAAAAAAGAACGACGTAGTATAGAGAAAACGATAGAGAAAAGTACCCTACACAATTTTAGAATTGTGATTAGTTTAACTACTCGTACGATAGAGTGAACATCGACGGTCAATCTAACCAGTTGTAGTAGAAGTACAGGTCAGTTTTATTAGAATTATTCATTGTTTGCATCGAATTTTTTCTAATTTTAGTTTATAGAGAAATTTAACCTGTTGTATTTTAACTATTTGTTTGTGTTAGAACATTCTGGTATATCTCCTAAGAGACTGTTTAAAAAAATGTTACTTCAGGTCATATGAAAGATGTGTAACGTTTTGTAGTTAATATTCGCCCATTTCCTTCTCCTCTATGAATCAAACGTCCCAAACAAATGAACTGTACTTAAATTCTGGTATGTATTAAAAGAGATTCGTATGAAATGAGATTTTAACTGAATTGTGTAGTTTTCTAGATTTTATATAATGAAAATAAACGTTCTCAGAAAAAAACAATTTTTCTAATTGAATTACAACTTCAATACATTCTGAAGATCAGTATTTAAAGAACATTCTGCATTTGTTTCAAAATAAATCGTATTCCTTTGTTTTAATTGTGTTGCGGTTGTGAAACAGAATATTTATTCATTAGAAAAAGAGAATGCTAGGCTTTAAAACTTCACTACTATAACAAATATGAGAATGCGAACAGACTTTCAAGAATAGTGTGACAATAACACTACTGTTTTACTGGAGAACTTTTGGTGAGCGGATTTATTTTGAATAAACATCCGTTGTATCTGATGTTGTAATGAATCTTCTACTATTCCGTTGTTCGCTCAAATTTTATCATTATTCTTGCTCTAGTAATTTTAAATTTAAAAATTTATTCGTTCTGTGCCGTGTGTTTTTTTTATATAAAAAAACAAAATTCATTAAGCTATAGATGCGGCGATAGATGGACTATCTCACTATGGTCAAGTCATAGGATGATTAAGTATCTAAATTCTTGATATATTTCAGACAAGAATCTTATTTCTTCAAACTATAGTATTGCTCTCGCAGAGCTTTTAACGAAATGAACCACTTTTTTTGTGTCAGGGTAGAATTTTCAATTAAATTGTTTACTAAAACATGAATATTTGTTTGACTTTCATGCCATGTATTGTGTATGTTTTACAAAAAAATAATCGAGATTCTCTGCGTACTGACAGTAAGAAAAAATTCAATGAAATCATTTTTATATGAACAGTTAGTTTGGTTATTGCACGATTATATTCCATGAAGCTGTTATAAGCTATCGCTACTGTGCCGTTGTTTGCTCAGATTTTAGGGGAAACTAGCTCCATTTAATATCACAGAATATATCAATAGTTTTTATAGGCAAGATCTGGTTGTTTTGAAAACATAAATTGCTTTTTAAACTTTTTCGGATAATCATATAACGTTGATGGACGTTTTCTCTCAACCGCATAATATGATGGAACACTTTGTTTTATTAAGGTCGCTGTATGTTTCAAATTTTTTTACACTTTTCTTTTACAAGTAGTGTTATGCTATTCTCAATGTAATATAGTAAGATTAGGTATAAGTAAGATTGAGAAGGATGACGTCAAGACATTTTGTTTCAAATTCTCTAACCTCAGAAGTGTAAGGAACACACAGAGATTGAACCTCTGTGTGTTTCTTACACGAGAGCTAGAAAGAAAACTTATATTTGATACTAATGTGTAATGATGTAAAGCTGAGACTGGTTTTTCGCATCTTTGGTGAATTTTGAGATTAGGGTAAGACGTAAAACCAGCGACTGTGTGTTCTTTTATGGATCTTTAGTTCTAGTAGCTAGAACTGAAGATCTACAACAGAACACACACACGCACTCTAGTAAAAAAAAAATACCAAGAGGAGGAGTATGATGGAGCACTCTTTTTGGGAAAAAAAGAAAGGAGTACTCTTTTTCCCAAAAAGAGTGCTCGAAAAAAGGAGTAATCTCGATAATCCTTTTTTAAGAATTACTCCGGAGTACTCGAAGTACATGTTTTCAAAAGGAGTACTCCAAAAACTACGCTTTTTTTGAAGTGCTCTGCAGTGCCTCGGCTGTACTTTATAAAAAGGAGTACTCCGAAGCGCTCTTTTTTTTAGATGTATTCTGGACTACTCCAGAAAAAGAGTACTCCTAAAGTGCTCTTAGCGGCTTTTTTCAAAAGCAGTGCTCCGAAAACGGAGTACACCTTCATACTCCTACTTCTGGCCTTGTTTTGGACTGGGACAGAGAACAGGTAGATCGCAGAATACTAATTTGAAAACCTAAAATAGTTCCTATAGCTTGAATTGATCTTTCAGAAAATAAAATTATTACGAATTAATCACAGAAAGTTCATTGAAATTACAAAAACTATAGGAGACAAATGCATGCACCCAGAGCTGGGCAGCCGGCTTCGGCTCCAAGCTTTTCTGTCCGACTCCAAAAGACGTTCGTCTTTCCTTGTTTGTTCTTTCAATTGAATTTCCTAGGGTTTCAAGTAACAAAAAATATAAAATAATAATATAAATGAACGTGTCATCAGCGTACACACTTATGTTACTATCTGTCGTAAGAGGGTCATTTTTATCTCGATCAAATGTGCACACCATTATCAAATGTAAACAGAAAACAAAAAATTTGAAGCCGACAAACAGCCACCGACTCAGACTCCGAACTCAGCGTTTCCGGTCCGAAGCTGCCCAGTTCTGCATACACCAGTGGAAAAGCTACTTTCGTTCTGCACCATCTCGAATACATGATGATGAATAGATTGTTGCTTTATACAGCGATGTTTTATGTTTCTAGTAAATGTGCATCACAAGAATAAGAAAAAGTAAAAGGTCTCATAGCGAGAAGAGTTTGATCAATAGATCAAATCGAAGTATTCTTTACGCGAGCTTTTGATTCTTTTTGAGAGTAAGTTGCTACTGTAACAAAAGAATTTTTGTAATTCGGTGTAACTTTTTAAATTTTAATAATCGAACCGTTTACACGTTGAGAAAGAATTCTTACTGTGTAGAGAACATGTAAAGGTTAGCAATATTTTTATTTATCATCTCTAGATCATTTTTATAAATATCAATATATTCAAAATGGCTCCATTTGGTTTACGATTTGCTTCTCGAACTACTCGTCAAGAAACAAGAGAAATAGCAAAAAAAGTTAATGCTGATTCAGCTCCACCACCACTTGAAACAAAACCTCCCTCATCATCTTCATCATTGTTAGCAAAAGTTGTTAAACGTCGAGCACCTCGTCCAAGAAGTGAACGTGCACCAAGAGTACGTGCTCCACGTCCACCACGAGATAGAAAGACACGCTCCGACACAACAACGACTACACCTCGAAAACCACGTCCAACTCCTTCCACACCATCAACACCACGAAAATCACCCGCAAAAAAACCAGCAGTCGAAAAAGATCCACCACCACCAAAAGAGTCCGTACCAACTACACCTAAAAAACGTAGTCCACCAAAACGAAAAGAGGCACCAAGAAAATTTACTAAAGAAGATATTCAAAAATTATCATTAATTAATTGTGCCAAAGAATTTGGCCAATTTCATAGAGGTAAAACGAACTTTTTATTGACATTTTTAAACGTTTCAAAACGTTATCTATTACTACACATCAGACTTTATATGTGTTGTCAAAAATTCGTTGAGTGGTATTATGAACAGACCATATCAAACGACTAAACAATCTTGATAGATATTGATCATACTGATTATCACTATTGACTCTCTTTTGCTTTTTCTATTTTCTAGAACATTATATTTCTGTTGAACAAGATGAATCACGTGAAAATTATTTACGACAGTTAGCATTACAAGCAACAAAAGTTCATCATTTAAAAAATAATTTTCGTAAACGAAATGATGAACGTTTAAATTATGATCAAGTTGATTTATATTATCAACAACGTTTACAAGAATATAAAGATTTATCACGTGCAGAATTTCAACAAAAAATGGACGAATTTCGTAAAGAAGTTAAATTACGAATAGATCGATGGTTAAAACGAAAAATAAAAACAACAATTTCTGAAATTCTTTATACAAAAAAACAAGATGAAGCAAAAGATAAAGTTAGAAATGGTGACGATAATATAGTAATGATGCCAACAACAACAACAACAACAGTGGTAGAACAGAAAGAAGATAAAGAAACAACGAAAGAAGTTAATGGAGAAAATGAAGAAAACGGACAAAACGGAGAAAATGGAGAAAATGGAGAAAACGGAGAAAATGGAGAAAATGGAGAAGAAAAAATGGAACAATAGATACGTATAAAATCATAAACGTTTTGTACTGTGAATTGTTTTTTTCAAATTCCATTATGTATGTGTTCGTGTGTAAATATCTGTGTATGAACGTGCGTGTGGCAGTTATGTGTCATATGTCTTTTGTAGAAGTTAATTTACTTTTTTTAGCTGGTTTTTAGAGCTTTCTTCACCATTTCAGTTATGTAGCTTTTGAAGAGAATAAATATATGTAAAAATGAAACCAACAGTTCACATGTACAATTCAAGAAAAGATTTTGTGATCTAGATAACTGAATGAAGAAGGATATGAACGGGAAAAGATATGTAGAAAATATTTCAAAGTTTTCCGGAAAAGATCAGGTAGTGATCTTTGATTTTGTTTATTTTCTTTTCGTCCGATGTATTCAATTTCTGCAAAGGATAGATCGTGCTGACAGAAAACGATAAAAATATTTTCTGGGATGGATAGTTTAATTTCACTAGTAAAAAATTTCTTTGAAATCGCCATTTTTCGTAATATCTTCAGCTAGTAATTCTATAGATCAGTGTCAAAGTCTCATGATTCGTCTGCTTTCAACGCTTGAAATCACGAAAAACTCAAACTGAGATGTTTTTGTTAAAAGCTCTAGAAAATTTGGACTTTGATTAATTGCGTTGCAATGATTGAACCAAATGGATTCTATCGAGTGCAAAAAATCAATACAAATGTGGAGAGACAATTAGATGACTTTAATGATTTAGCACGAGCCAGAGATGTGACAAGAAACTCTACTGATATGTGCGTCGAAGAAAGTGTTAACAAAGTCAGTTTATTATCGAATTTGGTTCAAATTCAACTTCTTAAGAAATTTTAGGAAATAGATAGAGATCTTTAAACAGTCTCCGCTATTAGAGGAAATAGTATTTGTTGTTTTATACTAAAAAGATGTGTACGAACAAACAGATGCGGCTATATCTACAAAAAATGTTTAATTTGTTGTCAAAAGATTTTTCTGGTTCAGTTGTTTTCTATCGTGTTTTGGTTACGTTTTATTAACCCTAGTACTACGAAGGGGGTCATTTTTGACCCCATTAGTGATTTAATTGAACAATACAATTGAAATATTTATTGTTTCATATTTTTTACACACAGAATGTTTGATGAGAATGTGGCTGTGGGTTAGGATGCGGATGGGTATGAAGTGCATGTGGGTGAAGAGGATGAGTTAAGACGAAGAAGCAATGGTGGATTTAGGCTTTGGATGGAAGGGAGAATCGTTTTAAGATTAGAGGGACCATTTTGAGATAGGACGGATGATAATATAGAAACTCATTGGAGGAGCTCATTCAGAGTCGTATAAAATGCAAAAAAGGGCACGGTAGTACTAGGGTTAAGCTGATCAAGTCTTTAATGCTGTTGCAGCCCGAAACGAATCCAACAAAGTAAATAGGATTGGTTTCGGGCTCTGAATTCTGTGCACATATTAATGCATTAGCCAATGGCCGAACTATACATAATAAACAGTTTCGAAATTATAGAATTGAACCGGAGGGACATCTCTTAAACTGAAAAACCATTTTGATTGATTACTTTAGATTTCAAAAACTCTTTTATATTGCAGAAAAAACTGACGAGGAAACCAACTATGTCCTCGTTTTTTGAATGAAACCAAGTGGATCATTGGTTATTGACTATGCTGATTCCGAATATCACCGTGCCAGCTGCGCATAGGCCTCCAGAGATCCGTTTTCTGGAAAACCAGTTTTCAGAAACTCTAAAAAGTAACTAAAACCTTTCTTAATGAAGCATAATTGTAGCCCGCACATTTCTGATTAAAATGAGACATCGGCGAGCTCTACACAATCCTTCTTTGCAAAGTTATACAATTTACAATAAAAGCCCTAAATTAATTTCTTCTTATTTCTGTAGCTTTGCAGCAAATACTTCTCGACGACTGTCGACTATTCAGTCAAAGTATGAAGGTTAACTATTGCGTAGTTTACTACAAAGCTAAGTTCACATGTTCGAATCTCTATTCGTACAAAATTGATTTTGTGTTTTTCGATAGTTTCAGTTTAGAATACTATAATGGAATATTTTTTCGCTTATATTCTGACAGAATAAAGCTTATATCAACTATTGCGTGGTTCTGAAAATTCATTGAGAATGAGCACTCATTATTGAAACATACGTAGAAGAGCGAGGGTGAGGAACTAAGAGTCGCTCTTTCTACTATAGAATCTGTATTCAGTGTATATTATAATTATAAAAAAATAATCATAGAAACCGATGGTTAAGAAAAACATAGGTGAAACTTTTGTCAGAAAGATTACACACTCACCTCAAACCTTCGCATGCCATTTATTTTGCGTCCTTTTCACTTCCCTTCTTTTTTCAAGCAAAACTAATAACATATTTGAGATCAGCAAACAAAACCGAGTAGAACAGCATACTTAACATTTGGTTTTCGAACAAAAACATTTCGTTGAAAATTTTCTCCCTAGGTTAATGGTGAGTGCGTAATCTTTCTAACAAAAGTTTCATCTACGTTTTTCTTAACCATAGGTTTCTATGATTATTTTTTTTATAATTATAATATACACTGAATACAGATCCTATAGTAGAAAGAGCGACTCTTAGTTCCTCACCCTCGCTCTTCTACGTATGTTTCAATAATGAGTGCTCATTCTCAATGAATTTTCAGAACCACGCAATAATCAACCTTCATACTTTGACTAGACAGTCGACAGTCGTCGAGAAGTATTTGCTGTGAGTTTGAGATGGAACTGATGTTTCTAGAATAAGTTATGAATTTTTCGTGGAAAGGGCCTCATATCTCAGTACCTCATTTTCAGGATCCTTGCCCGTGAAATAGATGTATTTCACTGACCACTAATAGCCAACTCATAAAAGATTATATTGTAGATAGAGTAGAGTCATGGCTACATTTTAGTAAAAAGAAAAAGTTTTTATCTCTCTTAGGTCAGGAGCTATTGATATTTTACGAAAAAGAGATGAATCGCTTATATCTCACGAACCATCTGGTAAAAGAGGTCCAAACGTGGTGGGTGGTCAGCATTCGGCAAGAGCTATGACCACACAAAATTAGAAGCCCCTGGCTATCATGGTTCTTGAGTTACAGGGGGTCCGCTACGTTTGCGGAGTACTGTATTTATATTGGCATTATAAAAGAATATTATTAATTCAAGTAAAAATACAGGTTTTTATTTCTCTGTCATAAATGATGAACGTTTTGATTCTGCATTAGCAGGTGAACCAAAACTTTTCATCGATGATAAACGTCTGACTAGTTAACCGCCATGGAGAAGAATTTTCTATACTAAATGTATCAAAAAACTGCTGAAAAACTAGCGAAACTGATAACGAATGCTGTTGATATTAACAATCGTCTACTCTCTACGAATGTATTGAAAAAGTCTACGTGAAGAATTATATGAGACATGATAATTTGATAAAAATCATCTTCAAGCTGATAAGCAACAAGCTCTCGTCGAAAGATTGCCAGAAGGAAACACTTCGTTCTACAAGATACAAAATGTAAACAAAGCTGAAAGCGTGTCAGCAACAGACAGAGTCTTAACTTTTTAGTGCTGATTCCTTCAATAGTTGGAAAAATTGTAGAGCCAATAAATAGAAAAAAATTTTGATTCATCAAATTTATCCCATTCTTTTAATCCTTTTAAACAAATTCATAGGAGATATATCTGTTTTGAATTTAGATTTCTATATTTAGTTCAGTTTAATTCTCGTCGCAGTTAGTTTGCATCACCGAATAGTTCTACAATAATGAGGAGATAGATAACTTTAAAAAACGTAGCGCAAAACCTTGTACTTATTTTTTCATCCGTGTTTGTACGTATTTGATAGTCAAATATGATTCCATAACATAGTCTCCTTAACTTCGGGTTGAATACGATCGAGTAAATTGAAAAATGTTCCAAAAAATAGATTTGCGTTGAATTGAATCAAACTATTGTACTAAATATTGCTCAGATAAGGGATAGAAACATGAATCTGTGAAATGCATCGTAGAGATGTGCTACCATGGATTTTTCGAGTCCATTGTCATTTCAATCAAAAATTGCACTAAAAAGAAGTTCAACTTCCACTTTTTCTTACCAAGTTTAAGTACTGATCCACGTCATCTTTTGTTTGTCTACACGTCAATTACAGGATGTTATGTTTACCGTATGTGCTGTTGGTGTTATACGTACCTGTAGAATGTTTTCTTTTCTATAATATTTTGTTTTCTTCAGGTTGTAGTCTTGACATAATGTATAACTGATCTTTCGAAAAAAAGAAACATTAAAGAAAAGAACAAGCGGTTCATAGAATATTTTTAAGAATCTAATGGAGAGGAAGAAAAGAGAAAATGGGGACTAAACGTATAAGAGAAAAACCAAATGATATCATCGTATGTGTCATGTGTAAAATTAGTAGAATCTCAATATAAATAGCCATGTTTTTACAGTTGATTCATCATTTCAAAAATGAGAAAGACAGGTATTTCAATATTATTGACTATTACAGTTTACAGTATCTGTGAACAAAATACGATAACAACACCAGCAACACTAAAACAGCTCATAATTATTTAAAACAAGTTGCTTTGACAATACCATCCACTGGTACTGCCCAGTCAGTCATAGTCATTCTGAAAATTGCAGGATTCCAAACTTTACGCGTTTAGTGAATGTAGCATATCATCAACACGCAAGAAACGGCGAACTATATACAAATAACATGCAGAAACACGTGAGTAAAGCCTCTGTTTCCGTGGCGACGTGCGCTTCCTGCGTGTTATTTTCCGTACACTCACAGTTTCTTGCGTGTTTGTGTCATCCGCTAAACACTAGTCCTGCAAAAGTTCACGTTTCGTTCCTTGAACGTGTCCTTTGAACACCAACGCACTGGTGAACGTGAGCTTTGTTTATACGAACGGTGTTCATATCGTCTGAAGTAAATATAAAATTCTGTTCTTGTACTGTAGTAAGAACATATATATTTCTGCTTAGTATTATCTGATCAATAGAAACTCTAGTGAACGATCAGATGGTCTGCTCAAGACAGTGAACAAATTATTGCAATGTAAAAAGGATACCTCTTGATTCTCTGATCAAGACATTGTTTTTTCCAAGAACAGATCGCGGATTTCCTGTCAGAAGACTAGTTTTTCCGGCACTGGAACCGAAGTTCTTTGGTCAAAACCATTACAGTAACTGCATACGTTTGCCTTTGTTATCGTAACCCATTTGGGGCAAACGAACGTTGATTTTTCACTAAATATAACTTGTAATGGAGAAAGCTGTTTCACGTGGTATACTACTAGGTAAAATTGCTATATAACTTTTGCAATACTATTCATTCCACACAAGATCAACACCGTTCATATAAAATAAAGTTAACGTTCACCAGAACGTTCGCGTTCACGTTCAAAAACTGTCATGTTTAGCGTTCGCGGTCAAAAAATGCCAACATACTTTAGCGTTACGTTCAAAGAGAACGCTAAAAAGGAACGCTGAACTTTTGCACACTTACTAAAGGTGTGAAATTTTTCGTAAATTTTGGAATCCTGCAGTTTTTGGAATGACTATGACTGACTGGATGGTTCATAATGAGTCAAGTATTAGCTCGTGTAGCTCATAGTGATTTATAACCAAAACATGGTACACAACAATGTTTTCGTACTGTGAATGGTGAAATCGTAGAAGCATATACCTGTGTGGTTGCTGAATGGGGATTTATACCAGTTGTGATTGATTTACTGACATCAATGAAACAAGAATATTTAGCTAATATAAAAATATCAACAAATAAAGATACTGCAAAATTAACAGCAACAGCAATAAGTGCATTATGGTGGGGAGCAGGGATGAGATGTGATATTATTTTAGAAGCATGTGTAAGTAATTATTTATTAGATATTGCCATTTCATTATTGTTTATTTACGCAACACCTTGATTCACCACATATCTCCTTTTTTTGAATTTGAATCAAAAATATGAATCAACGATATGAAACAAGTTATGAAACAAGAAATAAAGTCTCAAGGTTAGTTGAAGTACATGAATAAAAACATCTTGTTTAAACTCATTTTTTAAAACCTTTTAGTCATTTTCCATCTGTGTTTATAAGTACTATAGATACAGAATATACTAAGAAATATTTTGGTGAAAAAATAAGTAAGATTGCACCTAGGCTAACTAGCACGTTTTGATTATACTGTACACGTCTGTTTTTCTAGCGTTTTCCTTATATCACCGTGTTTTCTTTCCCGAATAATTTCATAAGAAGAAGTCACAGAATAAAAAATTTTACACCATTCAATAGCGCCTTTGACGCTGTATATTTGATACTATTCAAATCACAGAAAAACTCACTTTGGATTTTCGACCAAATGTTTACTGTGTGAGGTCAATTTTCTCCCGGTGCTTGGTCAATTCGTTGCAGGTCTTTTCGTCGCGGTCATTTTGTCGCGGACAATTCGTCGCAGACATTTAGTTGCCAATCTTTTCGTCGCACGGACATTTAGTCGCATCACTTTTGTCGTACGATTTATTTTAACATAAATTTTTTGTCGTGCGGAACAATTCATCGCATCAGATGAAAAGGACAAACAATAGAGTGAAATAGATGCTTTAATCCGCTCTACTAACAAACTGTAGCTGTAATTGAGAACTTTTTGACTAAAAATTATGTTAAAACAAGTCGTGCGACTAAATGTCCGTGCGACGAAAAGATTGACGACTAAATGTCTGCGACGAATTGACCGGTCACCTTTTCTCCCATAAGGTCGCCATTTTTCCATTTTATTTTTTTTGCTTCTATGCTTATGTTAGCTAAACATTATCAAGTCTCCTCCTACTTCAAAATAGTCTAACTGATGTTTCTAATTCAACGAAAATATCTATCGACAAATAATTTTTCAGATAAATTATTTATTTACATCAATATGGTTATATCATGTATATATAGAAAAATAAATAAATAAAATAGAACTTCTTTAAACGATCAAACTAGTCATTTGAACTCGTAAGACAAATGAATGTAATAGAAATTACCGTAGCAAGCGTGCAACAAACATTGTGTATCTACGAAATAGAACTTCAACATTTGATAATAAAAAATTGAAATTGTTTACATCCGGATACACATACAAATCTGACAAAAAACAAAAACAAAATAAACAATTTCAAATAAAAGTTGAATGTTGATCAAATATTTCGAAGTAAATGATACTCATTCACACAGACGAATGTCTCTATCAGCTGCAAACTTTTTCATTAGAATAATGCTATCGGCAGTAAATAGAAAAACGGAAAAGAAGAAAGTATAATAAAGAATTTCAAAGAAGAAGAAAAAAAAAAACAACCGATGTTGATAATATCAACAAATATTAAATACAAAAAATAGCGTACAAAAAGCGACTTAGGCAAAAAAGCAAAAAAAAAACAAAAAGCGACTGTTCAGAAAAACTAAAACAAAAAAAAATGTACAATAAAATAATACACAAAATACTATGCACATAAATGTACATCTACTATTAACACTTGCAGTACGACATTATTCACATCATTGAAAAAAAAATCATAGATGATGAGAATAAGAGTAAAAAATTTCATTTGTGACACACAGTCTGTTGATCGTAGTATGTTTAAAGAAATGAACACGAGTAAAAGCAAAACACTTATTTCATTATAGAGAGGTCATCTTTCGGTTTTTTTTCATTAAAAAATAACTTATTTTCTAATATTGTACGAATTCTCTACAGACTGAGACTTTTTCTGACTCTTCAAGACATTTTCTTATGGAAACATGAATCTTTTCAACATCATTTTCCACTGAGAAAACTAAAGTATTTCCGCTTTTTTTTCTTTTTTACTTCTTAAAAAGCATTCATTTAATAGACAGTGCAAAAATGAAATATTTTTGTTTTTATTCTATCACTACTATTTTTATCAAGAGTTGTGAACGTTAAAATATAGAAAACTCTATAAAAAACACTATGTCTGACGCAAGACGATTGTACATACCGGGGAAAAAAAAATCAAATTTTTTTTATTGTACATCCAACTGACTTTATAAAGATTTTGCCCGTTTGAGAAAAAAAACTTTAGTCACATACACTCGATTTCAATATCCTTGAATATTCATTTCAATTTTAAAATTTTCTTATGCTTTCATTCGAAGAAAGGTAAATGTATCCTTACAAGACTAACAACACTATTTTAGAACAAGAAACAATGTCAAAGAAAAGTGTTAAATTGAATATAAATTCAAGCATATTGGACTAGAGTGTATGCTATAAAATGATTCCAGTTCAAATGCACAAAAAAACAACAACATAATCTGTCCATTGACGAAGAGAAAAAAAGACAAACTGATTTTCTAGAAAATATCAGTTAAACTGAAATTCAAGAACTGAGAAGTATAAAACTATATGTCTAGTTTAATTTTACAGAATAAAAATGTTATAAGATTAGAGAAGAAGTGAAGAAAGTACGTTTGAATGAAATACTCTCTTAATTTTTTCTTAGTAAGAATTCAATGAAAAAGAAAAGATGAAGTTTAACATATGAAAGTAGATTATAGGAAGGATCGAATAAAATAATTAGAAATCAAATATAAATTAAAAGAAAAGAATATATTGAAAGACACACTCTGAGTAGATTTGATGTCAACATTGATTATTGTATCGTAGTTGTAAAAGATAATTTTGTTGTTTCACTAAGAATGGTTTTTAATTGTGTATTTTCTCGTTTTAAATTTTGTAAATCAACTTCTAATTTTTGAGTTTTCTCTTTTTCACGTTCCAAATTATTTTCCAATGTTTCAATATATTGACGACGTCGTTCACGACATCTTCTCGCCGCTTCACGATTACTATCACGAATATGTTTACGTCGACCAACATCACCTGTACCGTTGTTATTCGATACAGATGGTAAATTAGTAGATACCAATGATTGATTTAAACGTGGACGTTTAACTCTTGGTATTCGATTACTTGATGTTACTTCATTCGACATGTTTTGTGTCACGTTTGTTGTAGCTGATGAATCTAAATGAAAAGAAATAAACATTTGAGTAAGAATAAACAATAGACATACAAAAAGAGAAATAATCGAAGTTCACTCTCAATCTTTGTCTAACAAGTAAAATTTTAACAAACGATATTCGTATATTCTAAACTGTCGTTTACTTTCTAACGAGGGAACATTCTAAGGTGTAAAAAGGCCGTTTTCAATAATAAGTTAAAACCTTAAAGGGATTTGTACCCATGGTACTCTTTCAAGAGTTATGAATGTTTTTTTGTTTCGCTGGGAAAACAGGTAGAAAAAAGATCAGTCAACAATCTTCCTAAATCATTACAATGATGGAATAATTGTTAATAAACAAATTCAATAAATTAGAGAGAAAAGATACCTTGTCTATTAAGAAACATTAACAGGGCCACCTATGGTTAACAATAACAAAAGAAAAATGAATTATTAGGAAAACATGATTTTCTTTAAAAACAAGAAAATTTTTTATAGATTATTTTCTAGAGAGGCTGAAATGTTGATTCTTTCTATGATGTTAATCGAGTATTAGAACAATCCATAGAAGACGAAAAAATGTCAGCTCAAAATTCATTGTTTTTTATTGAGATAAAAATTTGTTAGTGTTTTTGTGTACCTATTTCCCAGTGAAACAAAACAAAAATTCATAACTCTCATAGACACAAATTCTTTTAGAGTTTTAACTAGAACACTTTCCTCTATCAACTGGTATAAGATCATTGAAAATGGAGTTTGACACTTGAGAATGTTCCCTCGTAAGTTAAGTATCATACATTTATTCGTTTAGTCCAGGTAACTGTAACGCTTAGATTAATCAACAATTGTACACACTATGTTTTTCTCTTTCATTCCACGACTCACAAAGATATATAAATTATCATTCGCATCAATCATGCATATTTTTATGTAATCGTTCTTGAAAATCAACAACATAATTCTATAAAAAAAAAACGTGTAGTAACTGAGTCCTAGAGAATTTTTATTAAAAATATTTTAAATATAAACGTCTAAAAGAGTATAAAATTCTGAAAAAACATGAAGCGTCGCACAGCTCTCTACGATCTTTCGTTGCAAAGTTACAGGCATCAGAAAATCTAGAGAAATGTGCTTCTGCTTGTTTTTTTAGGCGATTTTTACCGTTTTTTCACAAATTATACTATTTCTTTGGATATTCTGATGTTTGTAACTTTGCAACGAAAGATCGTGAAGAGCTATGCGATGCTTCATTTTTTTCAGAATTTTATGCTCTTTTAGATGGTTATATTTAAAATATTTTTAACAAAACTCTCTAGGACTTACAGCTCCGCTAGAGGGAATTTTCTAGAAACCTTTCATTAGTAACTTTTTTCTGGAATTTTGACGCATACTGTATTTGATAGAGAACTTCAAGGGCTATTTAAATCACTATTCAGATTTGACATAGCCATTCGGATTCATCGAAAAATTTCAAAAATACAGTGACTCTATAATTTTTTCCAGTGCTGTACACAGTGTTAAGAGCATTTTTAAGCAAAATTAAAGAATTTTCAAAAACGTTTTTTTACTACACTGTACGACACATCTTACGTTTTGTTGTCTCGTCTTGCTCAATGAGACTCGATTGAACGAGACACCAGAAAACTCATCACGTTCGCCTGTTTTGCGTTTTATTTAATTCTACAGATAACTCTTACGGAGTAAGTACTAAGTTCCAAACTTTGATGAAAACTCTAAGAATTTAGCAGAGTTGATATAGTTGCCTCTAACTCTCACACTGCCGCATCCTTTGCCACTTGCATCATACACCGAATCTCAGGAAAGAATTTTCTCAAATTTATTTATTTTTATTTCCGCGTGCCGCTTGAATCTGAAACTTATTTTGCTGCATCTTTTTCGAATGTGGTATTTTACGTGAAAAAAGGTTTCTCTGGCATGCTGCTAGCAATCCAAATCCGTGAAAAACCCGAAAAATCGGATTTTTCGAGTTTTTTGCAGCTATACATTGCTAGCAGCATGTCAGAGAAACCTTTTTTCACGTAAAATACCACATTCGAAAGTAGCAACATTTCTCTATCGAACGTACACCTTAGACAAAGTTGCTCTAGAAACGAATTTTAATTTCACTGTTTAATCAAATCCGAAAAAAATCTGATGTAGGCACTACTCATGAGGGAACCTCCTGAGGTGCTAAAAACCTTTTTGAATGGGATTATTTTTAAAATGTAGGCCCTCATGGGCTATGAAGAATCCCAACTTGGTTCGGGCGCAATCAGCTTTGTCACATATTGTAGCCCAGACCAATTGTAGTCCGATGAAAAAAGGTCAAGCTGAAAACCTCTTTCTACAGTGGTTTAAGTTTGAAAAAGTTCTTCAAACACGGAGCAATTGCTGTTGTTAATTGTTTTACCTACGAAATAGAACTTTAACATTTGAAAAAGAAGAACATATGGAAAATGTTCTTTCACCGCTGTGGAAAGAGGTTTTCAGCTTGGTCTTTTTTCATCGGACTACAATTGGTCTGGGCTACAATATGTGATACATTACAACATGAAATTCAAAACTCCGTTTTAGGTTGAAATCCAGGTCCCGTGAGGAAAATTCGATATTTCAGCAACAAAACTAATTGCACCCGAACCAAGTTGGGATTCTTCATAGCCCATGAGGGCCTACATTTTAAAAATAGTTCCATTCAAAAAACATTTTAGCACTTCAGGAGGTTCCCGCATCAGAAGTGATATTTCGAATGTTCAGAAAAATGATGCTCCCGACGTAAACGAAATATTATTAAGCAAAAAATGACACGAACTAACTGTTTTCAAAACAAGATTTTAATTATAAAATATTCTGTATTACTAGTGGAAAAAATAATTTTACAATGTAAAATAAGATATTTTTATTCTTATACTTCAACTAACCTTGAGACTTTATTTCTTGTTCCATAACTTGTTTCATATCGTAGCTATCATCCATTTTATCAAAATTTGTCTCCTGTGTTTCGACTTGGAGTGTATAGGGTTTTTGATCAATGATAATTTGAATGAACGATGAATTATTATTATTATTATTGTCGTTGTTGTTGTTAATGTTATCAGTCAAAAAATTATCGCTGGTTAGTGTGTGATTTCGTATAATGAATTTTTTTTTCGGAGGCACTGATGAAGAGACAGGAGGAGATGTAGGCAAGAATGAATCGCGTAATTGACATAGTTCCGCTAATGATACCGGCTTTGTCGATTCGAACGATTCAATATCTCGCATAACCTACAAATAAAAGTCATACGATTAAAAAGATTATTATGATCGACAAACATTATGAGTTTTTTTACAGAGAATTTTGTGTTTTCTTTCTTGTTTATCACTGTTTTGTGCGAAATGGTTACCACGTGATCTACCGAACTACACGTTCTAGAAACCTTCTGAAAACGAGAGGACATTCTCTGAGTACTGAAGATTGACCAGTGTATGTTTTTTCTTCTTCAAATAAAAGTTCAGATTTGGCACCATGAGCTCCACAAGTGAAAGAAAAATGTGTTTTGAACTTCATTCAAAGTTCATCAGCAGCAGTTGTCCGGCGTCATTTATTCTTAAGAAGAAAAAAAAATTCTCTCTCATTTGTCTTTCGTTGTTCTTCATATTTTGGTCTCTGTTCTATTCTCTTTAATCATCTCTTTTAAAGTAGCTGAAATAGAAAATCACAGTAAAAGTGGTACAATGGAAATCTACTGACTGAATTGATAACTTTTGGCAATTGTCAGCAGCGACAAGAGTCTGTTGTCTTCGCCGTCCGATTCGTCTCTCGCCATCTTTCCTGCTTCATCGCTGTCTAACATATTTTGGTGGAGATGACGAGTGAAGAAGGAACGTCCTCTTTCAATTTAAAGGAGTCTCTATGTTGACAGACATTATGAGTTTTTGCAGGGAATTTTGTTTTTTATTTTTTGTGTTTACGACCTGATCTAATGTTACTTTTTTTCCCTGTTCAATCTATGGTTATAGTTTTTTGTGAAACTCCTTCATTATCTCCAAAGGAGATGAAGTTTTAATTTAATTTAATTTAAGTCTCTCAATGTTAGAGTATTCATCTTGGGCTAGCGTCGTATTCCTTTTACAATAATATATTCAAGCATACTAAACTTAAATTATTATCTCATATTGAGTTCAAAAAACATCACGAAAAAATATTTATCTTTTAGTAAAAAATTGTGAAAAATTCCTAGTTATCACCCTACAAAAAAATATTTTATCGGCACTGGTTGTGCACGGGTGCGCACCGATGCCGAATAATTATTTTTTCCGGGCACCGATGCCGAATAATTATTTTTTCTGGGCACCAATGCGCATCGGTGCCAGAAAGAATGTAAAAATCTCGCACCGATGCGCACCGGTGCCGAAATTTTGTTTTCAATCACCATTTTGTTTTGTCAATTTCTATCTATATTAACGCTACGGTCTACTTCTAATATTTCGAATGTCTTTCTGATTTCATTTTTTCCTTCTCATAAGAGAAGTGCCGAGGCAATGCCGCATGGTTTTGGCATGTCGATGTGGTACTGATCAGTGCCGCACTCTAACACAAAATTCAGCATAAACAACCATAATAAAGAACTAATTAAATTGATTAAATAAATTATCAGTGCGGCACCGATTTTTGCTAGTGCGGCACCCATGCGGCACTGATTTTTACCAGTGCGGCACTCTTTCAGCAGAAATATATCGGCACCGGTGCGCACGGGTGCCAATCGGCACTTGCTGGGCACGGGTGCGCACCGGTGCCAACCAGTGCCAGTGACCGATGGCATCCCATGCGCACCAGTGCGCACTGGCAGTGCCGCACTGGAATTTTTTTTATAGGGCATTATCATTTATCTCAAAACAGATAAAAGTTTCACACCATCTCTCTACATTACAATATTAATATAACGTAGCAGTGCTTTACTTATTAAAAGTGAAAGACTTGCAAAGGAGTTTCACTATTTTAACTCTGAGAGGGACTACCCTGTCAAGGTTTTCTCACTGTTTAACAACTAAAATAATGATTACAGTTCAATCGGTCTCTTAAAAACCTCTATCAGTTTCTGTCGACATCACAACTTGTGCATAGTACAATTGCAATCTATTTTTCAAGTGTGATGTTATTTACATCTCTTTATTGCGATACGTATAAGTATTTCTTCTCAGAAATAGAACGTTTATACTAATTTGTTTCTCATGAGAAAACGTGTGTAATGAAATTGAAATATAGTCAAAATTGATTTATAGAAAAAATTGTCATCGGACCTGAATCGTTCGAATAAGAGCAACAGAAATAAATAAATAGGAAATGAGTAAAAAGAGAATGAACAAAAACATTTCACAATTCATCCTCATTCTCATATTTTTTGAAAAATTCCTAGGACTTGTCCGTTTTCCTAAGGAAAAGGAAGTTAGAAGTATAAAGTTTGTTTACGAAGATTTTTGTAGTTTACAGAGGATGTTCTGTTAATAACTGTAAATTTTCGGGGTGAAATTGTAATTAATCAAATTTCAATATAAATTTGCCCTATAAAAAATATTCCAGTGAGGCACTGGTAAAAATCAATACGGCACCTGTTACTGGCATCGGTGTCCAGCAAGTGCCGATATATTTCTGCTCAAAAAGTGCCGCACTGGAATTTATTTAATCAATTTAATTAGTTTTTTATTATAGTTGTTTATGCTGAATTTTGTATTAGAATGTGGCAATGATCAGTACCACATTGACATGCCAAAACCATGTAACATTGCCTTGGCACTTCTTTTATGAGAAGAAAAAGATGAAGTCAGAAAGATATTCGAAATATTAAAAGTAGACTGTTGTGTTAATACAGACAGAAATTGATAAAAACAAAACTTCGGCACTGGTGCGCATCCGTGCAACACCAATACCAATAAAATATTTTTTTATAGAGTGATGTTTACAGCTAGTGAATGGACTAGTAATAGACAGTACATTGTTGATCTGAGATTGTCAGACAAATTATTACGATATATTATTACATGTTCTATGTTATAGCCCAACAGTTCAATAGGAACTTTTCCCATTTTTACTTCGTAGAAGCAACGCTAACAAGCTTTTTTTCCACTTTTTGCTATTTAAATTTCTTCTCAAATTCAGACATAACAACGAACGGGGACTCATAATTATTGATAATTAAAATATGAATTCATTGAAACACAACAATTAGAACTGTCAACATTTTGTTATATGAAGATTCTTTTTGACATTAAATTACATGTCATTCAATATCAAAATACATACTTCAGCTGTCGAGGGTGGAACATCGGGCGATGATGTCTGTTGTTGAAGATTGGCAACTTGTTGAAGAAAAATATTTTTAAATGGTGATTGTGTCGGTTTACGTTCCGTTAAACTTTGTTTTAAATCTTGTTTTATTTTAGATAATTCATCGAGCGGTAAAGCAGACAAATTAAAACTGGGTGTTGATAATTCTATTGACGGTGATTCGTTCATTTTTCTAAATAAACGCAAAGATTAAATCTATAAATAAACAAAACAAACATATAACTATAGATTAATTGATTTGTACATAAATGTTTGAATAAAAAGGCAAGAGATGATAGAATTGTTCTAGAATAAACATATCAGATAAATACATGGGCGTCTATCCTGTGAAACGTTTGAGGCACAATGTCTCAAACAAAAGTAAGATGATACGCTTTTTTGCTATAGAAATTCATTTTTCAGATGGTACACTGAGAGATCGAACCTTCGAGGTGGTACAAAATACTTCAATTATTCAAGTGGAGATAGACACTGTTGGATAAATAATAGTTTTAATTTTGTTATGCACTCTTCTTATATCATAGCACACATTTTTCTGAATACAAGATAACATAAAAACCAAAGAATCAATAATAACCTCATTTCTATCAATGTTGTTTCTATCAAGCGAAAATTATTGTATAGTTCTATATTATAATTATACTTCGCTACTAGTAATACAAAGAAAAAAAGAAGAGAAAGAAAAAAAACTACCCTTTTCTATCACGGGAATGTCCCTACTTTGAAGAATTATTTGTGTTTTCTTGACAGAATTTTTTCTTCATTGTATTCTTTGTCAAGAAAATTTTCTTGCACATGTGCAATAACACTGTCTTTGAATGAGCTGAAACACTGTCTTAATGATAAAATGTTCAATTTATTTTTCTCTCGGAGACAAATTTCCAGGTTTTTTCCATGTAAAGTGTACAATCATCCATACGCCTTCATAGATAGCATTAATCTCTGTTCTATTTTTCATATAGCTAAATGTTGGCTGTATGCTTTATTCAAATGTCGGAAGGAGACAAAAAAATCAGAAAATAGAAAAGATCTGTGATTGTTTTGATCAAGATATGTGGAATATGTACTACAACAACAAAAACATACTATTTTTAAAATGTGTCGTCCTTGTGTTTCTATTTTGCACACATTTTTTTGTTTTTTCCTTCAAATTTCGAAAAAAATATTTACATTAGGAACAGAAAAACAAGATGTTATTTTAATTATCAATAATTATGAGTCCCCGTTCGTTGTTATGTCTGAATTTGAGAAGAAATTTAAATAGCAAAAAGTGGAAAAAAAGCTTGTTAGCGTTGCTTCTACGAAGTAAAAAATGGGAAAAGTTCCTATTGAACTGTTGGGCTATAACATAGAACATGTAATAATATATCGTAATAATTTGTCTGACAATCTCAGATCAACAATGTACTGTCTATTACTAGTCCATTCACTAGTTGTAAACATCACTCTATAAAAAAATATTTTATTGGTATTGGTGTTGCAC